AATAACTATAGATCGGAACATATATATATATATATATATATATATATATATATATATTATCAAACCCATTAAACTGAAAAAATAATTATATTCGGTGTTTTGTAATATTTTAATTTATTATTTATTTAAGTTCTAATCATAGAATTTGTTGTATTTTTCCCGAAAGAATCTGACTATTTCAATATACTTCTATGGGTGACAAGTGACAACAAGATGGAGAAATAAAACTATATATCAGTATCAAATAAAAATAAAAATAAATGGAAAACTAGACGTCCTGTTTTCAAATTGTTTTATTTGTGTTATTATTTCTTGCGTTAATTTTCTGTTTTTACTTTTTAATTACAAATTTTCATATACACTATTTTCAATTTGTTTCATGTTTTTAAAGATTTGCATGCAAGGGGTGATTTTTTTTTTTTTAATCTCAATGTTTATTTTCTTTAATAAACTTAACAATTTCTGCTTGAAAAAAAAAATATGCTTGCTAGTGATGATCTTCATTAAACACTGCTACAAAAACGTGGCCTATCATTTTCCTTCTTTTATTCCTGAAGTTACCATCATTTTCTTAGCAGACACATTCTGTTAATACAGTAATGCATTCCAGAAATAGGAACAACATTTTGAAGTTGTGACACACACAAAGAATTGAAATACAAGGCAAGTTTCCTCCAAGGCACAACATATTCTTAACATCATCGTTATTAGCACTTAACTAAGCCAAATCATGTTTTATTATATTCTTCAAACCTATCCCTAAACATCAAACAAACTTCAGAAAATGGTGGAACTTGTCGATTGATTTGACGCAATCATAAACTCCAGCATCACCATCTGTCACTGCATGCCAACACTTGACATGTCTTCTTTCCAAACAATTGTGGGTAATGCTGTTTTATGCTTTAATTTTTTTTTTTCACGTGGTATGTCAAAATTAATTATTAATAATTAATTTATGCTTGTGAAATATAATTATTTTAATATTATTTCATTTTTTTAATAATTAAATTTGGAAGTATTAGGTTAACTTTTCAACCATATAGTCATCATTTTATAACGACACATTACTTGCAACTAAGAATTATTTTTACATATATTATGAATATAATATGTTAGTATATTATTAATATATATATATATATAATTTTTATATGTTATTGCGATATATTTGGAATATATATATATATTTTCACGAAATAATTAATAAGTGATGGTGGGTGATGAAGTTTTATGTCAGCGTATGATGTAGAGGAATCTAATTTGCTTTGCTTGTAGTATTTCTGTTTGGGCCCAAAATCACGTGATTGTTTTGCCAGCTTTGGACTTTCAAATCACCATGTCAACTTAGGACAGAGCTCAAAAGGATAATATATTTTAATTAGTTTCTTTTGATTTTTACCTTTTACTAATTTTGAATTTCCTGACAATTTTTTTACAAGAATAGTAACATATGAATACCCAATAACATGAACACCATTTCCCCTCTCATTTTTCCTATATCTTTTTTCTTTTCTTTCAAACTACATCACTTATTCCATTATCTTTCTTTTCTATTTTACTTCTATCTCTTTCAAGATGTAGACTAATATTAGATGTCTACATACAAAACATTATTCATTTAAAAATAAATAATTATTATTTTCCTAAAAATATGAGTAAACTTTTACGTCATCAGAGAGATTGGAACTTAGCTCTTATTTAAGAAGAACTATTGAAATAGGTTGAGATAGAAATTGTAAGAATATTTTTTTTTTTGCTAAAATCCTAATTTGGTCCTTTATAATATTAAAAAAATTTTAGTCTCACTTTAATTTTTTGTTTTAATTTAGTTCCAATTTATTTTAAAATACTTCAATGTGAGATTTTTGTTCAAATTTTACAAACGACGTTAAAGGTCCATGAGAATCATGTCTGTGATTCCAAATCACGACCGTGATTCTCACGCCTGGTGTTAAATCTTGGTGGGAGAGAGCTTTCTTCATTCTTGTTCTTTCTGGAAGACCAATTTTCTCACCATTCAGACACATAAACCCTATCTTTGTCTTTGATCACCACCGACATCGGAAACTGCCGCACGTTCACCTCCACCTTGTCATACACCGCTCCCTCCACCCGGTTATATCACTCTTCATTAACCACAACATCTTCATCAATGAAATCGCCGCCGCCATGCTGTCCTTCCTCACTATGATGTCGTCCACACCCACCAAATCCTCGTTCAACAACACCTTCCTCGTTGTGTCGTCCATCGCGTCCTCGACTGCATCACCAGGAGGTATCCCTTGCTCACGTAGGCGATTTCGTTCAGCCCTACGGAACCAGATGAAGTTTCCGTTGGAGTTCGTCATGAAGGCGTTGTCGCAGTGGTCCACGGCGACGTCGTTCGCGGCGTCAACATTTTCGGAGGGGAGCGGGGAGAGGAAGAGGCGACGACAGGAGTGGAG